GAATAGCATTATTTCCACCGGAAGCATGCATCCCCACCGAGGCGTGAGCGGGAAACTCGCTTCCTCCCATGGAAGCCTATTCCATGTTTGAGTACGTAATGACAGCGACGAATTTTCTCTGGAATGGAACTGAAACTCCTCACATTTTGCTGACTCCTGTTCACTAACCTTACCTTCTACCTAAAACATTCTGTTTTTGCATCCTGATTATTCTAGATTAGCTGGGTGCAACTGAGCAAGTTACATACACTGTTGTTACTGTCCCCGGATGAGAAGGAAGAAACCTTGATGTTTATGTTCATGTACGCTCCTATTCATCGGAGGAATGGTGCCCGGCCTCCTCACGTTCTCTGGTGCCTCCGTATGAGCCTTTCATTTCTTTCGCAGTGAATGCACTAGCAAGAAAGGTCTTATCAGTTAGTTCTTCCAGACATGCTTAGTATTGGGGGGAGAACGGCTTATCGTCTCCCTTATTTGTTAGAAAGGACACTACTTTTTCCTTCCTAATGATGGTAATAGGAAGCCTTTCTCTAAATCTCTGCTTTTTCCAAAGACATATATCTCCACTCTACCGTCCAGGTATACAAAGTTTTGCACTACTTAACATTTTGAGTAGCAACAGATCATACATACAAATACACACGCCACGTGGCCGATGTAGCTTAGATGTGCAGTGGACTGTTCTATCTGGGTTTGTGTAAACTGTATTCTATGATTTTTTTGTTCAAAGAGAGACATCACCAATGGATGCATTCGATGCATTTCTTCATACACGTGCCCATTATTGCGTGATGAAGGACTCTACGTATTTATGATGGAGATGGATTGAAGGGATGACTTTTGCCAATCTACTGCAAGCTAATTTTGAACTCGTAGAGTCAGAAATGTATCTAGCTCAAATATCAGGACTTTCTTTGAATTTAACTCATGGGATTTTAGCATATTTTTAACTGTGAACTCCAATCTAAATCAAGAATCATACACTCAGGGCTGGCCAAATAGCTCAGCGTATTAAAGCACCTGCAAGCAAGGGCAAGGGCATGGGGTTCGATCCCCGGGTCTCCAGTGCTGGCCCCGACCCAGGGGCATGCTGCGACAGCCATTGAGACTGGGCTTGGTGGCTCGTGCCTGTAATCCCAGCTCTTGGGAGGCTGTAAACAGGCAGATCAGTGTGAGTCTGATCTAGTAATGAGACCCTGAACACCCTGTAGACCATTCCCTAAAATCCTAAAAAAGAAAAGAATCATATACTCATAGCTAATTTCAATTGGAAGCCACACTTTGCCTTTCAAAAGCATTTTGCAATGTTAGGGTCATATTTGGTTATTATTATGCAGACAACTCTTGTGGTATTCAGTGGGTAACTTTCAGAAATTTTTAAATAAATTGAAATATGTAGCACAGTTTCATCTAATGACAAATTATCCTTCTCCAAGTAGCATACTCCACTAAACATGAACCTGTTAGAATTTCTAATGATTTATAACCATGAAATGAATTTACATAGTTTTTGTTTAATTTGCATTTTACTAATTTCATTTGATTATAGCCATCTTTCATGTTCCTTGACCATTTTTACTGGGGCCTATAAATATATCATATACTCATAAAACAGTTATTATTCCTTATCTCTGTAATTTATTGCATACTTAACAAAACAATTGCTTTATAATTTACAAGTATACTCTTTGAACTTGTTTGTTTTAATTTCCTTCAAAATTCACTTATATTGCATCATTTGTTTCAGAAACATAGGTATATTTGTATGTTTGTATAAACAGCTGTCTTCAATATATTAAAAGAAAGATAATCAAAGATTTTTTGAGGTACACCTATCCAGTAAGGATCATTAGATATAGTTCTGTTTGAGAAATCAAATCATCCAGTTGAGGAATACTTTATAAAATTTGAATAGTATTCTGAAATAATGTTTCTCTACTTTGAAATCATTAATATTTTGGGCCACATAGTTATGTTTTGCGGAGATAACCCTATGTTTTATAAAATATTTAACAACATTTCTGGTCTCTATGCACTGGATACCAGTGTTTATCCTCCCCTACTTGTGAGAAGAACATGATTTCTATAGATAACACAGTGCCAAAATTGTGCTTTTATTTTTCTTCTAATTTCTGGAAAATACCATTGAAGATTTGCAGTAATATGGTAGAAATATGTGATCCCTAGCAGACAATTCTCTACATACCTTGATTATGTTAATTTTTATTTATTCATATAAAGAAAAATGGTTCTTCCATTTCATGGGAAATAACTTTTTTTCTCTGTTGGTGCGGAGTTTACATTTCCTGTGTAGTAATTTCTCTAATTATCTCTTAATCTGTGATAAAGGACTTTCCTTACATAAATCTATGCCTATGTTAGTTGTACAAAGATTTAAAATACAAAGTCCAGGACGCTAATAGCAGTCTTGTTGAGAAGGACGGTGGCTCTAGATTGCTCCTTGAAAATGAACAACAGTGCAAACATGTTGCTTACCAAGGTGATTCCAACAGAGAATCTACTTTGGAGAAACCACTGTAATGTGGAAAGATATGGAGAAAATATTCTCAAGCAGTTCAGAGAAATGCATGCATCTATCTAAATGAGGAAGTTCTGGAAATTGATATGCAGGTGAATCAGCTACATAAATGATCATGTATGTCCCCAAAACGTAGTCATTGTCATGTTAAACATTCATTCCCTGGTATTTCATAAGAAAATAAAAAAACATAATTTTCCTAGTGGCTCTGCTGCTAAGTCTGGACTGCCTAAGTGTTGACAGAAACGTGTGAACAGCTTGAATCCTTTGAATTATAGAATTTAAATAGTTTAAAATTTAAGGTAAAGTCCACAGAAGAGAAATACATAAGATCATGCAGTTTATTATCTCTTCTAGTTCTAGGATAGGTTTTATTCCTATTTGGAGTAATAAAAGTCTTCTTTCTCCCTTATGAATGGATTAAAACTTACCAAACACAGAAATGACTTTTTGTTTAGCCCTTATGTAACAAATATCAGTTTCTTGTTGAATAAATGATTTTTATTTAGAAAAGGCATGCACACGCACGAGGAATATATGGAAGACTTCCACTCTCACCCATGATCATTTTTTTTCCCATGTGAAGAATTAGTCAGTCTTAGAGATCTCACTAAATTTTCTCTTTACCCACATGAATCAGACAGAGACAGATGATGAACATTTTGACAGGAATGATAGAAATTGAACAAGGTAACAGAGTTCACATGGGTGGAAGAGAGAAGTAACACAGAGCAAATATGCACGGAGTTATTCAATAGCATCCCTGCATACCAAGCATTTAGGGATTTAAGCAGAAGCATAATACATTGGAGTGAAAGATCTGCTGTGATCACCAGTGACCATGCTTTAAAGGAGAATGAAACGAATGGCATGCGATGTGGAAACCAGATTCTACAATGAACAGGAAACAGAGGCTCATTTCCCTTACATGCCTGTGTAACCATTTCCTGTAGAAACGAAGTAAGGATCTTTCTCTAGAGGAATGTCACATGGTCTTTCTCCGAGAAATTATTTCATATGAATTCAAGGGTGAGGGGTAGGATGAGGGAGCAGCTTTGTTTGTAGTACAAGTGAAGCCATCGAAGAAAGCAGCTTCTTAAAACCACTTGCAAGGAAATTTGGAATCCAGCCTTTTGGTAGGTAAAAAGAAAAGTCTTTGTGATCATGAGTTTCAGCAGTCTTAAAAATGACATTCTTCTTGTTTCACCTTATTTCTTTTGGGCTACAGCTAATTTACCAAAATGTTTCCCAGATTTATAATACATCCTTATATGTGTCTCTAAAAACCATATATATATATATATATGTTTGCCATGGCTATTGTAGAATTTAAATTCTGAAAATATGGATTATGAACTGCATGAATAAATGGAACTGGCAAGAAGTGGTGAATCGAGATAGTTGATCATTTAATGTTGTGGAATTTTCACAATTCTTTATTTAATATATTTTTAAATTACACTAAATTTATTATTATTAACATTTTTTACTACTTTCAATCAACGATTAAAATTTTAAGGTGAAAGTGGACTCTTTTTTACTACAACTTCTTCCTACCAAAACCAGTGCATAAGTCTATTTCTTAAACACAGTTTGATTTTGACCTGTGGCTATCCTCGTAAAACAGCACAAGCAGTATCACCCATCATCAGCTATATGAATATTTTATTTTTATAACATTTCTGCATGGGAAACCCCAACCGGCCACTTCTCAGCAATTGTCTCCAATGGGCAACATTCATGAAACTAACCAAGTTTCTGCTGATAGCAGCAAAATCCATATCTTTACCTGAGAAGCCATGGGCAGGACAGGAAGGATTACAAATTACTTTTAAAAATAATGAACAGTGAGGCAGCCAGCAGCTTCTCTGGGGTGTTAGAAATGCTGGTAAATAAATAGTAAGCAGTAATTTTTAAATACAAAGGATGTGTCTACAACCAACAAGGCTGATGAAAATCAGAAAGAATCTAGGAACATCCTGATATTGTTTGCCTTTTAACCAGTAAGAGCCATGTAGGAATCCTTCTGTGAACCACAGAAATAATAAATGCTGAGCCCATTGGAACATAATCTCAATCAGCAAGATACCACTGCTTTCCAGATTTCCTCACAGGTCCACTAACTCCATGCCAAAACTAGCAGTGGATTTCTTCCCCCTAATCTCCCTTAATGCCCTATTCGATTACTGTCACTGATCTCCTGTCACACACTGCCCCTTCGGACTCGGCATCTCTCAAGTGACTCTGCCAGAGGCAGCTGCGTATGTGCAAGGCATAGTCTAGGACCACAAAGTACCTTGTTCCAGGTGAAAAGAAAGAAAAGCAAAACAGGAGCAGCAGGAACCCTCAAAGATTCTCTAGCTCCCCCTTCACCTACTGGGTTACTGACTGGAAGCAAGCAAGGAAGGAGGACATGAGGGATTCGGATGATTTCTCTAGCTAATTGTCACAGGAGAGCAGACCAGGAGTGTTCCAGTAAACCACAGGATGGTGTCACTTCTGCCTTGGCTTTACATTATTCTATGGTAAGGATTTTTTTTTCTTTTAACTCAGAGGAGTAAAAAAGCATATTTCCATGGAATAACTTCTATATCAAATTGTATTTGGAGCCAGAGGTAGTAGAGGATGTACTTACGTTGCGGTGGGCTGTGGTCCACTAGACAACATACCTTCTCTGAGGCCAGAGTGGAAATCATAGGTTGACTCTCTCCCTTCAGGCTAGAAAATGCCCAGGCAACTCTAGAAGATGAAGGCAATTTCTACTCGGAAAATGTCAGTCGAATCTTGGACAACTTGCTTGAAGGCTATGACAATCGACTGCGGCCAGGGTTTGGAGGTAAGAAGCTGTATTGTTGCTAGACCCAGTGTCTGTAGGCTTCTTCATCATTCGTTGGCCTTCCAAGATCCAGAAGCTTCAAAAAGGTGGTAGTTTATCAGAATGACAAGATGTAAAGTTACCGGAGAGTAACTGTACCTACATCCTATCCAGTTTTTGTCCTTTTCTCAGTTTGGAACTGTTTGCATATTTTTGAATTCTCTAAGCCTCAGTAAATTTGCTGTGTAGCATATGAATGTATTTGTCTCATAAGTTTGGGGAAAAATATATATATATATATTCTTAATATTCTCCCAATTTTACTAAAATGTACAATAGACAGACAGCAATATGACTTTTCAGAGTGGAATGACTCAAAGTCTCCTTGTCTGGAGCACATTGCTCTGGTCTGGCTCTATGAAGGGGCTTTGTGGAGACTTTCAGGTACCCTTAATATCACTGATGATAATCACCCCAACTCTTTGGGCTAATTTCAGGTGCTGTGACTGAAGTCAAAACAGATATTTATGTGACCAGTTTTGGGCCTGTGTCAGATGTGGAGATGGTGAGTAGCCCCTGAATGAGATGGATAATTTTATTTAAGAGAGGAGAGCTAGGTCTCAGAATTATTAAAAATGAGTATTGCCACCAGCTTGGCTTCAGATTCATGGTGCAATATGTGCATTCATGCTGGGAGGTCATGGCCATTAGAGCAGATTACTACTGGCTTAATGTCTTTCATATTTCATGAAGGGTTCTGCTTGAACATTTTAAGCTGAGGGACTTTTTAAGATTACAACCTCTTCATTTATATATCACATAGGGATTCCTACAAAGGTAAGCAATTCCCCTTCGTGAAGTCTTAAGAAATTTGTAGAAATCGGAAAAAAGATGGTTCTATGCCATACTGTATCTATGAACTTTAAAACATATCTATCCTTTGTAAAACATTATTATCATTATATTTTATTGAAGCAGTGAAGGAGTACTTGGAAAGGTTCTTGCATTCCACCTTTTATGTTGCGGATAGACCAGTGGGTGTTCTAAGCACTCTGTTCCAGGTACAGATGGCTGTAGGATTCGTCAGAGGGTATTTATAGTAAGTGGCAATGAAAACCTGAACTAGTCTTCTAGAGCGACGTGTATCCCGATATACTTTCCACAGTTGTCAGGTAATAATATTTCCCCCTGAAACAAAAGTATCAATACAAATGTGAGAATACATAAAATAATCTTCAAAGAATTATGTCATTAATTTTTATTTAGGTGAATGAAATTCAAGATAAACAACTATTAGAGATTTTTGCACTGTTTTCTTTTGAGTTGATAAGACAAGAAGACAAGGCAGGAAAGAATAAAAAGAAAGAAACAAGATAGGGAGAAGGAGCAAAGAAAGTAAAAAATGAAAGTGGGGATAGGAAGGAAGGGCTTTATTACTAGACAAATATCTAAAACTTGAGGAGAAAGCATAATTCAAAATCTCAATAATTTTAACATCCAACTTTTCACTGAAATGCTGATTTACCCTGAGTATAATAAAACATAAACATTTTCTACTATGTTATTTATCTCCAGATGTATTTGGGGTTTTGTTCATGCTTTTAGTTCTTTTTAGCTTGCTTATAAGATAAAGCCCTAATTTAATTTAGATCATTATTCTATAGGTATATTCCCTAATAAATTGTGTTTAAAATATAATCAGAACTTATATTAATAAATACTGAGAGGGAATTTATGAAGTAAGCTAGACAATAATTGTCAATGCTTTAATATAGTAAGTTGTAATTCATTATTGATTTCTGGTATAGCCCTCTTAATATTTTAATATTGTTTCATATAATCAAAAATTAAAAATCATAATTTTGACAGGCATAATTAGGTAACATTTATAATGATCATAGCCATATTTTCTTTTTCATTGTCTGATAATAATATAAAGCAATTGTGACACATGGCCATATTGTGATAATTACAAGAATTTATCCATCCATAATTCATCTTAGAGCAGATAAACTTTACTGAAATTAATTTTAATGAATAGTACCATAATGCTCTGAGAACCAATGAGGACTATTCATTGAGTATAATTATCAATCATTTGTTGAGGAAAAAGTATTACCCAATTTATTATTAAATTATTATTTAGGTTTACTGGAGAAGTCACAGTCATAAAAGGCTGATTGTTGCTTATGCTTTGGGTTGGGAATGTTTGCTAGTGAATGGACTTATTTTCACCAAACAGTGCTCCAGCCTGTGAGAATGTTGGAATTTTTTCCTTAGGAGTATACGATGGATGTTTTCTTCCGTCAGACTTGGACTGATGAAAGATTGAAGTTTGTGGGGCCAACTGAGATCCTGAGTTTAAATAACCTGATGGTCAGTAAAATCTGGACACCTGACACTTTTTTCAGAAATGGGAAAAAGTCAATTGCTCACAACATGACAACTCCTAATAAACTCTTCAGGATAATGCAGAATGGAACAATTCTGTACACCATGAGGTGAGGTTTTTCAACTCTGCTTCTTTTGCCCAAACAATTTTACTCCCATGCTGACTCATAATCCTTCGTTTTGATGTCCCTAGGCTTACCATCAATGCTGACTGTCCCATGAGACTGGTCAACTTTCCTATGGATGGACATGCTTGTCCACTCAAGTTTGGGAGTTGTAAGTGACAAAAATGTCTCTGAGAGCCAGATAATGCATTCAAAGCATGTCATTATTTGGTTTTACAGGCTGAAAAACAAAAGATAAATACTATTATGACACATTCATTCTGATTCCAGGAATATACTTACTTTCAGTGTCATAGAGGTTTTGGTCAATGAGATTAAGGACAATCCTAAAGAGAATTTGTGTTACAAATTTTTTCTCTATAAAGAACACTTGATGCTTTTATGATAAAAGAGAATTAACCACATTCATGGGTATATTTGTTTCAAAACTTCAGATGCTTACCCTAAAAGTGAAATCATATATACGTGGAAAAAAGGACCACTTTACTCAGTAGAGGTCCCCGAAGAATCTTCCAGCCTCCTCCAGTATGATCTGATTGGCCAGACAGTATCTAGTGAGACAATTAAATCTAACACAGGTAAGGATATAACCAGTTCCTACAGGGGGACTCCAATGCACATTTTCAAAATATCTATTTGTTTCTCCTCCACATTAGCTAACTCATAACTGCTTTTTGCAATTAGGTGCATATAAAGATGTGTGTAGCCCTGGACTAAGTTTTACACAAAGAATCCAACTGCAAATAGCCTTCTTGTTTTACCACCTGCTTGTTAAATATCTTTCTCATACATTGAAAAATGCCTCTGTATCTTCCTGTCCATACTCACTTAAAACCTTGCATGCTTTATGTTTTCCTGCTTGCTTTTTGCAGACTGTCAAAAGCATTATTGACATATGTGTCTTCCAACAGGTGAATACGTGATAATGACAGTTCACTTCCACTTGCAGAGGAAGATGGGCTACTTCATGATCCAGATATACACCCCTTGCATCATGACAGTCATTCTTTCTCAGGTGTCCTTCTGGATTAATAAGGAGTCAGTCCCAGCAAGAACTGTCTTTGGTATGCCTCTCATATTGGTGTCTCCTTCTGCTCATCTCCTCCTTGCTTATGTGTGTGTGTGTGTGTGTGTGTGTGTGTGTGTGTGTGTTAATATTAACCCTAGTGCATTTTTCAACCCACAAAGGAAGCAGACTCCAGTGCATTCAGAAATGCTGATTGTGTAAAATCACTCTCGTTTCATTGCAAGTTGTATGGCAAATAACAAACAAAAAAAATCTCAACAATAATTCTGACCAGTATCCTAAAGCTTCCCCTGCCTAGTTAGTAATATTTTGTATTGATTTGTGTTGTTAGTCATGACAGAAACGCAGAAAGGTAAGAATTGATGTACTGATTGAGTAAATCAAAAGGCCAAATGTTTGATCCATACATATGTAAATTATACCTCTCTCTTATTAGGTTGAATCACATAAAATTTTCATTTTCATAAGTCTAAAAGTAGTTAAGTAGCACTATTTTCCCATAGTTAAACTTAAAAATTTTAGGACTATTAATGTCACATAAAATATTTTGATGAAGCAATGTAAATTTATACAAAGCTGTAACTGACAATATTATTGGAAACAATATTTTTGGGGATTTTCATAACTATAAGTAGTGTATAGGAAAGATCTGAGTTGAACTGAAATCTCAGATGAATCCTGATTTTGTAAATTTGCTATGTTACAATGTGCCTACTGCTGCAAATTTAAAAGAATACCTGTATAATGATGCTGACCATCAATGATATTCAACTCCTAAATGTTCAAATTCCCCTAGTCTATTGTGAAACAGGAATACTGCCTGCAGATGAGTGATGAAATTTATTTTCTCATGGGTAGTTAACCATAAAACTAGGCTAATTAAAAAAAGAAAACTACAGTAACCTAATTTTATATTAATATTCACACAAGATAGACTTCTCAATTATAATGAAAGATAATTTCTCACTAAAATTGATCATAAATTCTAGATGCTTTTTTTTATTTTACTGAAGTGATAACTTGTTGCAAATTATTTTTACATGGTATACAACTGTTCAGAATTTACACTTTACAAAACTTAAGCTAATTTACTTACTTCAACAAACAATTTCTTTGAGCAACACATCATAAGTCTGCATTAACTTTGATAGAAACAAAATAATACTGAAGATAATGATTATGAGTCATTCTAATGCAATGAAGTAACAAATATTGCTGTACAGTGACAGGATATTTAACCCTGTCAAGTAAAAGCTTTTTACTGGCTCCTGTTCCTGACTGGATTATCTATATTAATAGGCTATTTCTCACCCCCTTTTAATTTTAGGCATCACCACTGTTTTAACCATGACCACCTTAAGCATCAGTGCCCGGCACTCCTTGCCCAAGGTGTCCTATGCAACTGCCATGGATTGGTTCATAGCCGTGTGCTTTGCTTTCGTCTTTTCTGCTCTCATTGAGTTTGCAGCCGTCAACTACTTCACCAACCTTCAGACACAGAGAGCCAAGAGGAAGGCGCAGATTGCAGCCACATCCCCAGTGACAACAGCAAAGGCGACTGAACCCTTGGAAGCAGAGATTGTCGTGGTAATTGTTTTCTTTTCTACTCTTGTCCACCAGATAGAAAGAAGGCAGTCCAAATGGAGATGGCAAACAAATAAACAGTCCAAAGGAATATTAATGGAGCACTAGTAGTATAACTTTAGTTCTAATGGCAAGACCAGTTTTGCTCCCAACTTCACAGGAAAAGATAAAGGAAAAACCCTTCATTCACTGTCTTCTTTAAGCTTCTATCATGATTCTTTCATCATTCTTGCTTGTGCAGGCAGATTCTAGGATCTCAAAGGAGACTAGAAAATTCTGCTTAGCCGTTGGGTGTTTCCTTTGAACAGGCTCACTTATACCAATGAGAGAGAATAAAGCTTAAAACAAAATTCATAGTATGGCTTCTGGTCTGAAGGAAGAAAATAGGGACACCCATGGAATGAACAATTTTTTGTTAAAAATCTGCTTGCTGTTTTATTTCCAGAGGGCAAGGCATAAATAGTAATAGAATGTCTGAAAGTTGGGTCACAATTGAAATATGTGGCTAATATTTAAAACATTCTAACAAAGTTGTCTATTTAATAAATAAATGTATATCAGGAAGTTTATGTTCAAAGTTTTGTAATCAGGGAAAGATGCTCATAGATTTATGGTAAATTTATGAGCCTCACAATGGCCTCCCAAAGCTTTTGAACAAGAAGGAATATATACAGGGCTGTAAGTTTCATTTATGAGTGAATTCTCACAGCATTTACAATAAGCATGCTTCTTAAAACAAATTGTAAAACTAATTATAAGTATTAATATTTATTTTAATGCAATCCACTAAGAGTAACTCTTAGAAAAAGGGAGTTCTTACTCTGAAAAGTTCAATAAAAAACTCTCTAAGCTGGAAATTTTCTTTAATTGATCAATTGTAATAAACATTTACAAAACCTTAAAACCACACATATCTTAGTAATCATTGGTCTAAAATTATGTATGCTTTACTTTTCCAAATGTGAGAAATTTATTGGCTAACAGCTGGAATTGATTTGTATAAACTCAGAAGCATATATATGCTTCAGAAAATTAAAAAAAAACACCATTCCCATAATAAATGGAAACACGGTAATTTTTTTTAAATTAACCATTATTATAAGAGCAAAAAAATTGCCACCCAGTGATCCATTTTAATTATGTTCTCTAAAAAAGAGAAACATTTTCGGAAAAAAATCCTACTGGCTACATATTTGTAAAAAAAAGTAAGAATTCAATCTAGAGCTACTACATTACAGATATAGAAAGTGTGTTCATTACAGCGACTGATGGTACTCCCTCCCCAACATGTTCTCAAGGATTCATACACATCAGAGTATGTATCAATGGTAAAAAACCCCAACTTTTTAAAATTTATTTTGAAGAGTAAAAGCAGAAGCAAAAACAAATAGAAAAAAATGACAGAAACAGGGTAACGTACAATAATACATATGTTACAGATTTTCAAAACAGAAATAGCTAATTAACAATGGTTGTTATATAACTTATTTTTAATATCAAATCTGTTACTCAGATTAACAGATATAGTTATGAAAGATTTGACAAATAATTGAATATTAACGCTTGCTTTCATGAAATCTTATTTTTTCATATATATATATATATATATATATATATATATGTATTTTAGGGAAGGGTCTACACTACAGGGTGTTCAGGGTCTCACTACTAGATTATATATATATATATATATGTATTTTAGGGAAGGGTCTACACTACAGGGTGTTCAGGGTCTCACTATTAGATCAGACTCATAGTGATCCTTCAGTTTACAGCCTCCCAAGAGCTGGGATTACAGGTGTTTGCCACCACGCCCAGTCTCAATTGTCCTCTCAGCATGCCCCAGGGGGTTCGGCAGAGCAGGCATGAGGATCAGACCCCCCAGCCCAAAATTTGAGGAGGAATTTTCTTTGGCTGCTTCTGGCTGCCTTAAGGGCAGGTTTGGCCCAGCTTCTGGAGCTGTAAATCGAACCACAGTCCTATGTGCCTGACTGCATTTGCCCAAGCAATGCTTTAAATGACTGAGCTAGCCAGCAAAGCCCCTGAAAAATATTTTAAGGAGAATATAACAATTGCTAAGATATTAAAAAATACACACTGAGAAGACCAAGAGGATAGATAGTCAACCACAGGTTTTGTATTACACGTTGCAGTCCTTGACACAATTGCTCAGATCACAAATATCAACATACAGAGTTAGTTAAGGTGAAAATTCTAAACATTAACTGCTATTTTGAAAAAAAAAATACTGATGGAAATTACGAGTACAATCGTCTCAGCCATCCTGTATACATACTTGCATGATTTTCCCACCTTTGTTTTTCCCTATCTTTTCTCCTTTCTCTTATCTTTGTTGTTTAATCTTTAAGTTCAGTTTCTTTCCTTTCCACTATATCTAATATACCTTTCAAGTTTTTTTATTCTTTCAGGTTCTTAAATTATGGAGACAATCTGACATTTACACTCACTTATGAGTATAGCTTCTAGTTCCATCCACTTACCTATAAAGGCTTTGAGTTTGTCTTTATATATAGCTGAGTAGTACTTCACTGTATAAAAAAGTACATCTTTTCCATCCATTTCTCAAGTAATAGGCATTTTGGTGGTTTTCAAGGCTTGGTTATGACAAATTCTGCTTCTATAAACATGGGTGTACATAGATCAATATGGTATGATATTTTCAGTTCTTTGAGAAACCCAAAAGGGGAATTTCTGGATGGAATGGGATTTCTAGTCCGAGTTTTTTGAGGAGTCTCCACACTGATTTCCATAGTGGTTGTAGTAGTGTACATTCCAACCAGCAGTGAAGGAAGGTTCCTTTCCCCACAGCCACGCCAACATTTTTATTATTTGATTTCTTTATGATAGCCATGCTTCCTGGGGTAAGATGGTATCTCAATGTTGTTTTAATTTGAATTTCTCAAATGGACAGTACTGTGGAACATTTTTAAATGTATTTATTTGCCTCTTGTATTCCTTCCTCTGAGAAGTGTGTATTCATGTCAGATGCCCATTTTTGGATTGGGTCTTCAAATTTTGGGGGCTGAATTTTTTGTAATTCTTTTTTTTATTTTTATTTTTTTGTAATTCTTAATATTCAGAAAGAAGTCCTTTCTCTAAGTGATTGTCAGTTATGATTGTTTTTCCAATTTGTGTTTTGTCTTTTTATTCTGTTGGTGATTTCTTTTGACATGCATAAAGTTCTCAATAAGTTGAGATCCAGTTGTTGATTCTTGAGTATTTTCCATGGAGTTTGGTTTTTGTTCATCAACTGTCTGCCTATGTCTTCAAGATTTCCACCTACCTTCTTTTCCAGTAGATTTAGTGTTTCCATTTTAAAGTTTACATCTTTAATCCATGTTTACTTTACTTTAGTGCATGGTGATAGATCCGAATCTAGTTTTAGTTTCCAGCATGTGAAAGCCGGGGGAAAAATGTTTTTAACATATATGTGAATTCATCTCCTCAGTTCTCCCTTTAATGATACTTCCTATTTGTTTACGTTTTAAAAGGTCATAAAAATATGGCTTCTATGAGAAAAAATATGTGAATCTGAAGACCTAGTCTAAGTAATTTAAAAGCCACTTTTGTCAGACAAGATAAATTTTACACAGTTTTAAGCATTATTTTGTCTTTCAAAACAAGAAATTTTGCTATAAGTAATCTGTGTATAAGCATATAATTTACATATTATGAAAGGGTCACAGAGCAACCACTAGACTATTACTTCAATGGTGTAATTTATTAATAGGATGAAATTTATAATCTCAGGTCTTCATATAAGATAGTAACATATAACACATAGATCCTTAGGGTGGCTATATAAAAAAAAAACATACTGAAATCACTTGAAGAACATTTTCTTGTAAGTTATATTTTTCCTCATGAAAAAGTATATTTCAGAAACTCTCATTACTTACAATATTTTAAAGCATTAACTAGAATTTTGTTTCTGGCAATCAAAAGTACAAGAATTAGCAACAAAAACTATCCAAACAGTGGCATCATTGAAGACATCAAAAATAAAAATATTTGATTACATAGGAAATGTATATTTTATTTGTGTTGAGTCAAGGCTTGATGAGTTGCCTTATACAAAGGAGAGGAACAAACATAAATTATACACTTACAGCTTATGCTACACAAATTACAAGGTCATTTATTTCTTATAAATATCATGACATTTAAAAATTCCTATTCAGTTTAATCAGAGCATGTGAATGTGTTGGACATTGAAATAGCAAACTAAGGTGGGAAAGCTGATGTGAAATGAAGTGCCTGGGTATGTGATGTGTTTCTGCCCTGTGTAGTTTTAAATGTTCACTGCTTTTCCACAGGAAATTATTTAGAATTTATATGGATAAATGTTTCAGACTTTTACCTCTTTAATATTGACCTTGAAATTTATATAATGATGACAAATAAATTCAAGTATTTAAAATCTGTGACCCAAACTCAAAAGACACCTTCAAGCTAAACTCTCAGATGAGCTGTGTAGACCTTTCAGCTCCTAAAGCATTTGGAATTGCAAAAATAATTTTTCTTTAGACTTTGGGAAAAAATTGTCAGCATTCTCTCTCTAGCTTTTTTACTGTTTTTATTTACTTTTTTGTCATTAGAATCATTACTGTTTTATAGTTTTAGAACTTCTGATGTGCCTGTGATGCCTGGAACCAAGTTTAGCACTTCACCTTTCTTCATAGTTTATTAGCTTCCCTGGATTTTTTTTTTCTTTTTTCTTTTATTTTCTTTTATTTGTCTTTTTGAAATATCGTCCCATTATGCAGTTCAGGCTGGCCTGGAACTCACTTTGTAGCCCAGGCTTGCCTTAAACTCACAGCGATCATCCTGCCTCAGCCTCTCAAGTGCTGGAATTACAGGCATGCCACCATGCCCAGCCTCCGTGGATATTAAAAAGTTAAGCTCTGATTGCTGTATTCCTATTGTGAATCCTGCATACCTCATCCATACTTCCCTTTTGTACCATCCCTACTCCTAATAAG